GGGGACTAGGTTAAATAGTGATGGTGTACATTCAACGGTATTTTCAAGAATTGCCAACCAAAGGTCCAAACCGTCTTCTAAAAGATATACGTGTTCTTCCTGAACAAATGAGCGAATGACGTCTTGCGAACATTGAAAAGTAATCATAATATTATATTTAACATATGAAATTATTATTCAACTTACAGTGTTGGTACTAACGCTGTATTGAATTATTGGTATTATAAATTCATGAAGACTTATAGACTGTTCCCACAAGGCCTAATATAAAAAAAAACATAATTTAATTAAAAATGGTAACAAAATAAAAAACCTTAACATTTTATTTACCTGCACAAGTTTGGTCAATATCACTAGGATAGCTGGTTTGAATAAATATTCACTTTGAGCTACTTGCCATAACGTTGGCAATAAGTTTGTAATCTTCTCAGAGAAGGGTGCAATCTAATAACAAGATCATATGAATTTTTGATTTTAAAAAGACATATGTTTCATACAATTTTTACCAGTGAATCCATTCTCTCTACTATAAGAGATAAACAATTCAAAATCTTCATGCGACTTTCAAATTGTTTCACCTCTCCAATTAAACGCGTCAATAAAGTGATTGCACGGTCAAGATATAGTACAAATCCGTCCGAATCAAAATCCCATTCGTCTACACGTACATCAGAAGTTAAGAATAATAATAAATTTTGCAAAGATATTTCTTTAAAAAATCAAGGATATAACTCCTCAAATTGATTGCAGCAGTCATTCTAACGACCAAATCCTCTTCCGGGTTTATGAGATATGACATAACATCGTAAACTCTGGGCCGATTTTCTTTTGATAATTTAACACATACCCATCTTCCAATCACCCATGCAATGCGACGACGAATTATTTTGAAACTTAAGTTAAAAAGAATGGTATTAATTTCTTATTATGAAACCAATAAAAATTCATTATATAAATATTAATATATAGTATAAATTCTACCTAGGATCGTTATTCGCTGCTTCAATCAATAAATTATTAACAAGCCAAGAATCGAAATCAAGCACGTCATATAATTCGTGCGAACCTAATCCCACTGCACAATAAATAGCATCTTTAACAAATAGATTGTTTGATTGAGACACTAGAAAATTTGAAATCGAATTCATCTGATTAGTTACACAACGTTAAAAATAATTCAAGAAACATAACAAATTTGTTCAGAAAATGCCAAATGATGGCGGTTTAATCTTTGACATTAAAATGCCTAATAAGACCGTCGTGAATATGATGTTTCATCATTATTTAATGTGCATGAGAATTATCAAAAAGAAATAAACTTACTAGCTAAATAATTAAAAAATAAAAGTAAATTGAATCAAAAAAAAATATTTTTAAATTAATTCATTAATCAATTAAATCAATTAAATTATATTTCAATAATATTATACATACATGCGGCATTTCCGAGTAATTCCAACATTTTTGATGATAAAGGATCACGATATTGTGTGATTAAATCTGTAAAAACCTTTTCAGCACAAGGCTAGGACACATAAAAAAACCAAATTAGGTAAATAAATTATAAATGATAAGGCGAATGTGAATTACAACAAACGTACTCTTATATGATATTCCCAGTGATCTGTCTCATCAAAATTAACCCACCCTTCTGGATCTTCTTCCCACATTATCAAATCTTCCTTCCTCAAAATTAGATAGCTTGAAATTAATAATTCGGCCAATGTTTCGACAAAGCTCGGCGTCAGTATTTGTTCCTCTAAAATCTTAAATGCCTCAGAAAGACGGTTTGGACCTTTGGTTGGCAATTCTTGAAAATACCGTTGAATGTACACCATCACTATTTAACCTAGTCCCC